CCCCCCCCATATATATCTAAAGCCATGAAACAGTTGTTCAGAATTCTGTTGAAATCTCGGTGAAAGCATGTTGCTCTGTCCCCAGAGACCTGATGGATTTGCCAGCTTTTAGTCACGGTTAATGTATTGTAAAGCAAAGGTAATGATTCACATGTTAGCATATCTGAAAAGGTGCAATACCAATCATAGCAGTCGTGTTTACAGGCTGCTCTAACTCATGTGAATTCAATCAAATTATACCTAAAGAAAAATTCTGCAAGAAGTCTCTGCTCCCTATATTTGTTTTCATTGCCTGTTACTCTTATCTCTCTTTCTCTGCCTCTATTGTTTGAATTTTTTGAAAATCTTTTTAAGTATTAAATGCACTGGGGAGATTTGCTAAGTATTCTCTTCTCAGAACTGTCTGTAATCAAAAGCTTTGATCTGATGTGTTGCTCAGAACTGAATACAGTTTCATCAAGTCATTTTAACCTTAAGTGTTACTTTAAGTAGTTGGAGGAAACCTTTTTTTTTCCCTGTCACAGTTCCTTTAATACAAATGCTGTAGCAATTTGCTAATTCCTAACAGCCAGGAAGTGAATTTAAAAAAAAAGATAGAAGGAAAGTGTCAGTAGGCTGAAATTGTTGGATTTGTACAAGCAGTAAATATTTAGTAAAGTTTTAGCTGCTATGGGAAATGAAAAACTGTTTTGAAGTATTTCTTTTGAGTGTCCTTTGAAAAATATGTCTTGAATTTCTTTTTAAAAGATACTATGTTTAAGCTGCATTTCCTTCTAGCTTGAGCAGATAACTATTTCATGTGTAATTGTTTCAGAGTTCTGCAGTTAATTATCCATTCCAGCATTGTATATTGAGTCAGCATTGACTTAAAGTATTGCAGAGAACGAAACCGATCCTGCAGTGAGCTGTAGATAGGTTAGCCCAGGACTAGGATCTGTACCACTTTGTTCTTGAGGCACATTAATTTAAAATTATCTGGTGAAATCATGCATGTAAGAATAATTTAAAAAGAAACCAAACCAAACTCAAGAAACTCTTCCAGCACTTATTTTTAGTAAACATTTCTATTTGTTAAAACTCCAGATTTAAATCTAATTTCTTCTTTACTATTTTATTTAACAGTATATATTAAGGAAATTTCCAGCTTGCAAAAGCAAATTTGAATTCTTGAGACCTCTTCCATTTACCTCAATGAGCCATGAACTTCAAAGATTAAAAGCAGCATGCAGTATAAAGCACATAGCTAAAATAACAAGCAGTGCAAAAATGATCGTCTCAGTGGTGTGAACTTGGCCTTGTTTTATTCTTGTATCTTTGCTGTACTGTTTAGAAATTAACTAAGCCTTGTGTTTAATGACATGAAAAAAATGCCTCGTAAGACCTTTGCACAATAGCACAGTTAATGTTTCTGTAATAACCTTGATTATCTGTCTGATTGGCTTTTTTTAAATCATCATAATGATTAAAAAAACTTTAGAACCTCATGTTTTTCAATTATAAATTATATGAATTACATAAAATAATTCCTGGCTCTTGTGAAGAATAAGTTTGTCTCTTTCAAATAATGAATACCTGTACCGAATGTGGACATTCGGTAGAGCTGTGTAATCTAATTCTTCTAAGAAATGTGAATAAAGTCTGCTGCAGAGCAATGTGTTAGGAACAGTACAGAAGTGGGATTTGTTGATCCCAGGGTGTAGTTAATGGCACTACAGACTAATCGAAAAAGCTTGTTAGTAAGATTATTACTATTTATTAGTTATTTCCTATAACAAAATTAAAGTGGAGGTGTTGAAACTTTGCTCTTCATTTGTTTGTTTTTATACACGTAATGCATGTTCTTTCTCTTGTGCTGTAGACCCAGGTTGATGGACAGCTTTTCTTAATAAAACACCTCTTGATTCTTCGTGAACAAATTGCTCCTTTCCACACTGATTTCACCATTAAGGAAATTTCCCTGGACCTTAAGAAAACTAGAGGTACTAAACAGTTGCTGGCTACAGAATGGGATGGGATTGTCCTCCCTTAATGTGCCAGCAAAAGTTCTGGGTTTATTTTATGTTCATTTGCAATGACCTGTACGCTTGTTCTAATCTCTTGCTTTATTCTTATCTTCTCTGAAAAAACAACCAAAACCATTCTCTCAAGGGCAGTTCAAGATGTTTCTAATGCATTCTTTACTTTTATATGAAATGCTTTTGCTTTTTGCTGCTGACCTAACTTATTTATCCAGTCCTTTTTAAGAACAGCTAAGTAATCTACATTTCTGTTGCACAGAGATGATTTTCTCCTTCTCTGACCCTTTAAAGGAATATCTTTTGTTACTGCTGTTTAGCAGGTGGATTTAAAAATATATAGTTGACTTGCATAGAACAAATTAAGATGTCCTAGACCTTTCTGTGAGGTTTTGTTTTAGGAAAGGATTTCTTATATTGCAAGTTTAATAAGCGGTATTGTTGAATAGTTTTATGTAGCAACCATTTCTGTCGTATGAAGGGAAAATAGAGTAGTGGCCATGGTCATGATTTTTTAAAATTGTACTATGGTTCCTTTGTAAAATGCAGGAAAAAACCCTCTCGATACAAAAGTGAACAGCCATGCACTTGTCAAGGTTATAAAGATAATGGGAAAAATACTTGGAAGCGTGTCAAGTTTCTCTTCTTCCATTCCAGAAGAAAAAGCTGAAGAAATAACTTTTCTTTCCTGCCATCTAATATGCTGCTGTTTTAACTCTGAAGCAAGCAATGCTTAGACTAACCATTTCACCTGTTGCATTTGAACATCAATGAAACCTCCTACCTGTTGAGTAGTTTCTAGTTGACTGGAGGTTAAAGGGCAAATACATCCTTTTGGTGTTTTGTCCTGGCTGACACACAACTTTGTTCTTCGATTTCATTTAACTGAATAAATTTTTGTGCCAGCCAGTGCTTTGCAGATGGTAGTGGTAAGTAATGGAAAACACTTTATTCATATTGGGTGGTGGTGAGGGTGTTGAAAAGGTGTACATTCTGCTTAATTCTTAATGTAGTGTAGCATAGGCCAGTAGGGCTTTTATATTTGGGATGAACGGTAGAAGAAAAATAACATGGCTAATAGGAGTTTTACTGTGTTCTAGCCAAGCTGTCTGCACGTAGATTTAAGATTTAATTTGGGATTTGTAGACAAAGGGACACTGCTTAATGTAAAAGTCATGCTTCTGCCCAATTTTTTTTTCAAGTAGTGTAGTGCTAAGGTTCTTGTAACTGAAATACACAGTGGGGAGAAGTGACTTTCACACTGACTAGCTCACAGGCGTCTAATCAATCAAGAACTTGGGCTCTTTTTGGATTCAGTGAAATTTCTGGAAAATAATTCAGTGAACAAAATAAAACCTTCTCTGCAGTCTCCTTTAACTGCATCAGAGTGCAGATCCTTAGTTCTGTACAAAGCCTACGTGCCTATGTACCTGGTATTCCTTCTTTGTTTAATGCCGTTGAGAACACTTCTTTAACTCCTACGTCTTGTTTTCCTCCCATTGTTACATGCAGCAAGAGGGGTACAGAATAACTTTTGAAATGAAACAAAAAAAAAAAAAGGCAGATGTATGTGTAGGATGATAAATGAATGACATTGGGGCAACAAGCAGTACAGAAACCATGTTGGTAATTTTCTTTTTCCCCAATCTGACTAGATTTCAGGTTGACAGCATCCCCTTAACACTACAGGAATAATTTCAGTATCATGTGTTAATTGCAGACATTAGAACTTCTTGGAACTTCTGCAGAGAGCATAAACATGAGTGTATATCAACCTTGATGTTTTGTTCTTTAGTCCTAACTAAAATAATTCAGCACAGAGGAAATGAGTGACAGTTCTAACTTACTTCATGCAACTGTACTTGGTTTTCACAGGCAGCGTGAGCCAAATTCTGCGTATTGTTCTTTAACTGCTTAATTACCTAGCTTATGTAAAAAGTCTTTCATTTGTTCATATAGTTACAAAAGGAAAAGAGCTCACACAATTTGTGTGCTGACAGCACTGCAGCTGGTATCAGTTGTTTGTTAGGTTGTTGTAATGTATTTATCTGTTTAGACTGTGCAACTGTTAGATTCAGGTTTACCATAGATGTAACTAAAAAATAGTGGATTGAGCTTTGTGTGCTTCTGTACTTGTGCATCCCCACCTAGTGGGAGTGGAATTGTTAATGTTGTATTCCTAATCATGCTAGGCCATTTTTCTGAGTAAATGAGTTATTAAAGTTTTTAATTCCTGGAGCTGAATCCCATTGACTTACAGCGCGAGTGACTTTCTGATTCACAGATGCAGCATTTAAAATCTTGAACCCTAAGACAGTTTCAAGATTCTTTAGATTAAACAGCAACAACGCCTTGATACAGTTCTTACTGGAGGTAATATGGATTCTTATTGTATTAAGAAAAATTTGGTCTTTTAAGAGGGTGGTGATCTCTGGCAAATAAAAAGGAGAGCTTTGTTGTCTTCCGTTCAAGGGTACTCCAGAAATCAGAGAACATTATATTGACTCTAAGAAAGATGTAGATCGTCATCTGAAATCGGCTTGTGAGCAGTTTATTCAGCAGCAAACGAAACAGTTTATAGAACAGCTGGAAGAGTTCATGACAAAGGTACAAATATGTTGTATGTTCGTTAACCTAACTGAAATACTGGTAGGATAAGGGAATTGGTATTTATATTGGGTATAGGAGAAGTTGCTAGTGCTGTCCGATCAGCTGAAGATGATGGCATTTCCCGTTATAAGGTAGTTCTTCCCTTTAAGTTCCAACAACAATTTTCCAGGTGTTTTTGAGACAGATTAAAGGAACATGACATAGTTTGTTTTTAAAAGAAACCCTTATGCTCTTCGATCAAGAAGCTTTCATGTTTCACTGACTTGAAACAGGTCTGTGCAAGTTGGCAGGAGCTTTTCTGTTTGCAGGAAAACTCCTACCTTGACTGAATTTTTAAGCCTTCAGAAACAATTTTGGGTCATGCATGTTCTTGAGGGAGTATGGCTGTGAAGTGTGTTAAAAGTTTCTGTTCTCAGTATATTTCACACCACTGAGGTGCTGGCTGAGCAGGACTTTAATCCCACGTCCTGTTTGTGACAAATTCCAGATAAAAGTTGGTCAGAACGATTAAGAATCCCAAGGAATGGGTACATAAAAGATGTCTTGCTACAATACACTTTTTTCTAGAACCTGCTCTAGAGCTCAGGATTTCTAGGCACCTTGAGAAAACCACACAGCGGGATCTATTACTTGTGGAAAAGTGTGTTGTGGATCCTTGTGTACTGAGAATAAGTGGTTTTACAGCATGACATCTCAGAAATTGGGGCTACAGCATTGCATGGACATCACATATATCCCAGCTGCTGGCTTTTGAGAATTTAGGAGACTACAGTATTACATTTGCTGATGCCTGTCGTGCTGGGGTGAGGGGCCAGTAGCGTGGCGAAATATAGATGGGTACTCCATGAGATTGATAGATTGTCCAAATGATCGCAACGGTTCATGGGGAATTTGGGGAGTTTGACTAACCTGCTTAAGTATATATCTCTTTTGAGGTTTCTTTGTATTCTTAGGTGCCTGTCTTTGTAAATTTAATCCCATTTTGAATTTTACTTTCAAGAAGTGATCATGACTGTAATTTTGAACTGCATTTCTGTCAGGCTGCTTCCCCTGTGTGGTGTTAAGTCAGTGCATGGAAGAGAGAGAGCAGGGGAGATTCCATACACTGCAGTATCTAAGAGACTTGTGCAATTGTTACTTGGTCACTTTGTTGTGAATTCATCTGAAAGAAACATAATTTTGGGGTTTGTGCTTGTTTTTAGGTAGCTGCTTTAAAAACAATGGCCACTCAAGGAGGTCCCAAATACAGCCTTTCGCAGCAACCATGGGCACAACCAGGTATTTGCTTTGTTTTATTCATGTTACCTCTGAGGTGCTTGTAGGCTAATAAAGCCATGATCATTTACTACTTTGAAACTTCTGTAAACTTCTCATCAAATGGAGAAGAATGACCCCTTCCATCCACCATTTTTAGTAGAGCAATATAAGCTGCATTACATGGGCCTTGAGTATTTCAGAATGTTACTTGTCTCTGTGCCTGACTTGTAAAACATAGCAATGTGAAAAGCTGGCCAGATTAATTTCGACTGCGGGACTGATTTATTTGGAAAAATTCTAAGTACCTAAGAACTGTCTACCTTTTTCCTGAAAATCCTGGCTTCCGTTTTTACCTGTGTGACAGTTTAAATGTCTTAAGATACCTCTAAATCAAAAGCTGTCAGACTCCAGAATATACATTTAATTGGTGCAGTAGATGAATGGCTTGAGTATTTCTCAAGCTGTGACTGTTCTTGCATGAAAACAGCATTTCTGCAACTGCATATGGAATGTGCTTAAGGAATTATTTGATTACATTAAGATAAAGGTTTTGCTTTTGTAGGAAAAAATGAGTCTGCATTGACGCTTTTCTTGTCTGCGCATTTGGTACCTACTTCCTTTTCAGTTTCCCTGTCACTATGTGAAAATGGAATCCAGCTTTGTTTCCCCATTCTTAAGGATTCAAATGTGAATGCTTCGTAGGAACATTTGGAGTAGTTCAGATGTTGCAGGGTTGTTTTGCTCTTCACCTCACAAAGTTGTGCTTCTGGGTGACACTGAGAAATCCGATTATTCCAATGCATACATTGGAACCTTCTGTTGCATCATATTTTTAAAATGCAAAGCTAGCCACGTTCATTCATAATTCAGTGCTGCTCCATGGGTCAGACACTCTCAAGGGCTAACTCGAGCTTCTACTTAACATCTCCTGCTTCTTCAGGAGTATTTTTAATGTTTGTTTGGAGATAATTATGTGTGTAGAGGCAGGTCTAAGCAGAGCTTTTGCTGTTTCTTGGAGTCATTTGTTTGCGAAGCAGGAGTAGGTAGAAAATTTAGATACAGTAGAAATTGAGGTGAAAAAAAATTAACATAGCATTTTAACTTCAGTAATTTAAAGCTATGAACGGATTTTTCTCCTGCCCTTTAAGCAAAGAGCTTGTAAAACCATTAAAATACCTAGCAATAAAGAAAGAAGGCCTTGTCTGAGGGAGGATTCCTGTCTAGTTGATTCAAAATCCAGATGGCTGCACAGCCTTTCTTCTTAAAGACATGGCCTGTGGTCAGTAAGGAGAATTTGTGGTGTGCTGTTCTCTTTACTAGCACTGTTTATTCCCCAGGAGTTTCTTTTCCAGGCAAGTTTTCTAGTGGGAAGTGTGTGTAGAACTTTGTTGGGTTGGAAGGCTGTGACTTCAGGAACCTCAGGAGGATGCGGTCGTTTGCAGAAATGGGTTGGATGCATGTTCTGCAGGGCAAGAGGGGCTGAGGTCTTGAGTAGGTTCACAACGCAAAGACTTGCCTGCC